GTTGGGGAGTTCATCTTCCGGAAAGAGCGGCCACCCGAGGATCCATGCTCCGACTCTGACTCTGATCTATCAATCCCGTCTGGGAATGATTCCGGGACCGACGAAGAGTCTTCTGAGAGAAAAAGACGTAGATTACGTCCGAAACCTTCGCGCAATGTCACCGCTACTACTACCGGGAGCAATGGATCCAAGGGAAGGTATCATCTGGATTTGCCATCTTTCCGCTCTTCGAATGTGAATCAGGACTATGTTTCAGATCAAGACTTTATCTCAGACTCACAAGCATTGGAAGATCCCATACCCCGGCAAGCTCGAGCTCGAGCAAACAGCCGTTCCCAGCGGTTCGACAAACTAGCGCCCCCAGCCATGGATATGAGATCAATTTCAGGATCTTCCGCCGCCTCATCACGCTCAACATCGCCATTTGAAGGAAACAGACGTATCAATGCCGTCCTGGAGCGTTCAGGAGGGGTGGGACAAGGAGGCTTACCGATCACGTCCCTTGCGAGAAATAAACTTGGTGATTCCTCAGAGCGTCACCGTAGTTCTTCCCGCCCAAAACTGGGAAAGCGACATTGGAGTATTACAGACGATACCGGCTCCTCCCTGCGCCTCCAGACTGCCACTGTCTCAAGGCACGACATCGCCCGTGTCCGAGCTCTCCTCCTCTGCTCCGGCGTCAAGGCCAGGGAAATCTCGCGGAGAGCACAGAACCAGCGGGCCGGCGGGCCATCTCCATTTCTCCTCCGCGCCGCAAAAGTAGCAAATGCTTCTCTGATTCCAGTGTCTAAAAAAGAGGAGCACGTTCTGGCGGCCCGTATTCTGGTCCGGTATCTCGAGGCTTCTACACAGGCTGTTCATATCTCTGCAGATGAGTTCCGGGAACACACGGTCAAGGAGCTTATGAGTCGTATATCTGAAATCAAATCGCATGTTGAAACTGAATTGTTCCCAAGAGTAAGAAAGGAAGGGGATGAAGCTGTTAGGATTTCGAGTGATGTCGCTGGTTCGGCGCCGCTGGCTGTCAAGGAGATAAGTGATGGCGTGGATACAATGATTAGGATGCGGAGACGACGGACGAGGTGGTTGAAGCGCGTGGGATGGATGTTGGTGGAGTGGAGTTTGTTGGGGGTGATGTGGTGGGTTTGGTTTGTGGTGGTGCTTTTGAAGGGGATTAGGGGTTTTTTCGGGGGGCTGTTTAGGGTTGTTAGGTGGTTCTTGTGGCTTTAGGGGGACTTTGAACTGGGGAATGCTTTGTATTGGTAGTGGAGCTTGCTCCGGAGACTTGAGGCTTTTCGTCCTAAGTTGTTAGCATAGCGTACTGAGTTGGTTGGGAAGGGTGATATTAGAACATATCCGGACACCCTATTGGGAAAGAAAGGGTCGAGTTCGCTTTCGGACATTTAACTGTATAGTTATAATAGGAGAATAAACCGTTTTCCCCATTTTGTTGTATTTGGATATAGGGGACCTCGTAAAGGGACACGTGATTTCGAGACACCGCGCTGTGCACGCGCCACAACGGATCGACGTCATACTAGGCCGCCAGTCAGCCACTGTGCTCATTGCTGTGCCAGCTTCAAACCGGACAAACACAACTTTAACAACACTGTGTCTTTCGCTGAGCTCCAGCTGTCTTTCTGAAACTTTCAGAATCTACAGAAATCAAAGTAACCTAACATGAATGACAGTTTGGACGTTTGATTCGACCTCAGCTTCTGATTTGTGGCGCAGTCCTACTTCGTAACTCTCCCCTGTTAACTTCCACAGCCTCATCCACACCCTTTGGAAACAGACACAGACACAATCACGATGAATTTGATCAATCGCATGTTGGGTGCTTGGGACGCTGAGAAGAAGGTTAGTACCACTTTCCGTTTTTCTCTTATCTGTTCGATTCAATATTAACAATACTCGTTACTGCGTTGTCTATTGTCGAACTATCATTTCCTTATCGTGCTCATATACGAGCCATATAACAAATCATACAAACTCTATTTCGCAGTAAATATCTGCTGCTGAACCTGATTGAGCTAACTATGTTATGTGAAGCCCAAAGGAGGTTCTTCTCTGGCATCTCTCGTTTCCGCTTTTGTCCCAACATGGGCCACTGCTGTGCTCTTCGTTGTGATATTCGTTGCCATTCGGTCTCGGTATCGCAATATCTATGCCCCAAGAACTTATATGGGCACTATCCCAGAGAAGTAAGTTCAGGTATCTTATCCCGTATACGGTAGCTGACTTCGACAGGGACCGCACTCCGTCTACGAGTCGGTCGTACTTTGCTTGGTTCCACACCATGAGGAAGGTCCCTGATAAGTTTCTGCTGTATCATGGATCTCTGGATTCGTATCTCTATCTTCGGTTTTTGCGGACTATCATCTTCGTCTGCGTTATAGGATCCTTGTTGACTTGGACTATCCTAATACCCGTCAATGCCACTGGTGGAGGAACCTCCTTAGAGCTGGAAAAGATTACGATTGGCAATGTCTCGAAGACAAAATATCTCTATGCCCATGCAGTGGTGGCATGTTTATTCTTTAGTAAGTGGTCAGGAAAACATCTATTTGAATTTGGTATCTGACTTCACGCCTAGCCTTCATCATGTTTCTCGTCGCTCGTGAGCGATTGTGGCTCATAGGCCTACGTCAAGCCTGGAATCTTTCGAAACCAAATGCCCAACGACTATCTTCCCGGACTGTTCTTTTTCTCTCCGCCCCTAAAGACTCACTAAAAGAGCAAAATATGCATCGGTATTTCGGCGAGGACGCTGTCAGAATTTGGCCTGTAACCAAAGCGGATGTACTCAGGTCTATGGTGTCTGCCAGAGATGCCGCTGTCAAGCAACTCGAAGCCGCGGAGACGACTCTTATTTGCAATGCGAATAAGAAGGAAGCTCGGAAAAAAGCTTCTTCTTTGAACCACCGCGAGCCCAGGTATGAATCTCTTCCGGCCACATATGGGAAGTCTTTGAGGCCTACTCATCGTCCGAAAATTACCCTGGCTGAAGATAAGGTGGACAGTATAGAGTTTTATCGGAAACAGATCAAAGAGAAAGATGCGGATATTGAGAATGTGAGAAAGAATTATGAACTTCCGGATTCCCACGGCGCTGCAGCTGTCTTCGTGGAGTTCAAGACGCAGTCCACAGCGCAAAGAGCTTATCAACAACTTACATCCTCAGAATTACTAGCACTGAGCCCGAGATATATCGGTGTCGTGCCGAAGGAAGTTATCTGGGAGAACCTCACAATTGCACCTGCAAAGAGACTATCTCGAAAGTATCTTGCGCACGCACTGGTTGCGTTAACCACTCTGTTTTGGTCATTTCCAATCGCCTTTGTTGGTGCTATATCGAATGTCAGTTACCTCGCGGAGAATGTCAAGTGGCTGGCTTTCCTGCAAGACCTTCCACAGCCGTTTCTGGGACTTCTTACTGGACTTGTTCCACCTTTGGCTACTTCTGCTCTAACGACATACGTCCCGATCATTTTTAGATGTAGGTCACCGATGCTTTTCGAGAGCATGTCATATCATGCACCGTTGCTAACACGCTTCAGATATCGCCCAGAAGTGCGGCGAGCCAACAAATACCTCAACAGAGATCAAAGTCCAAAAATGGTACTACGTCTTCCAAGTCACCCAGGTGTTCCTGGTCACAACACTCTCTTCTGGCGCCGCTGCAGTTGCATCCCAAATTGCAAAAGACCCTATCTCTGTTCCAGACTTGCTGGCGCAGCGACTGCCCAGCGCTTCAAACTTTTACCTCAACTATTTTATTGTTCAAGGATTTACTTCTGCATCCGATCTCATGTTGAACTATTCCGACTTGCTTTCGTATCTGGCTTTTGATAAATTACTGGACACGACTCCACGCCAGAAGTATAATAGGTATACCAGTATGAAGAGTCTTCAATGGGGCAAGCAGTATCCAAAGTTTACCAATTTTGCTATTATTGGTAAGCTTTAAAAATTCCCTGTTGATGACCCATATAGCTCCTGACTTGTATTAGCGATTGCATACTCTTGCATTGCGCCCTTAGTCCTCGGGTTCGCAGCTGGTGGTCTCTCATTATACTACTTCAGTTACCGGTACAACCTCCTCTTCGTTATGGCACCTAAAATCGACACAAGAGGTCATTCCTATACTTTGGCCCTGCAACAGCTCCTCACAGGCGTCTACATTGCGGAGCTCGCCCTATTAGGAATTTTTAGCCTCCACGGAGCAACTGGGCCCTTCGTTATAACTGCCGTACTGCTCGCTGCGACCATCCTTTACAACTATATCATGAACAGATATTTCTCCCCCTTTGAAGAATACCTGCCAGCAGACCTGATCCGACAAGTCGAAGAAGACGATGAACAAACTGCTCTCCTTTCCTCAGTAGAAGCAGGAGATGCGGAAAATCATATCCAGCGCCTCAGTTCACGTTCCAGACTCCCCCCTTCCATCGTTAATCCCATTACACGATTCTTCGAACCTCATTTGTTTGCCAGTACTACTGTTATGACTAAGTGGCTAAAAGACGGAGATTGGGATGAGGACGATGTGCCGGAGTATACAGAGGAGGAGTTGAAAAGGGCGTATGCGAACCCGGTGTTTACGAGTAGTGCGCCTACGGTCTGGTTGCCTAGGGATCCGATGGGAGTCAGTCAGAATGAGGTTAAGGAGAATGGGGAGGAAGGGATTAAGGCTAGTGATGAGGGGGCGTGGTTGGGGCGGGATGGGAAGGTGGGGTGGGATGTTGAGGATTTTGGAAGTGTGCCGGTTTTTAGGATGGAGGTGAGGTATTGATGAATGGGGATGGAATAATAGGTAAAAAAATAATTGGTGGGATTACCATCGGTTAGAGAACTAGTCCTTTTGCGCTTCTGTTATCTTTTTCTCCGCTGGTTGTTCTGGAGTGCAATCTGATCAAATGCTGTGGATGTCAAACATTGTTCACTTTATTGTACAACCAAGTTGAGAGAGAGTAGCAGAAGCAAAAAAGAAAAAAAGATGGACACTGTGGGAATTGAACCCACGACCTTTCACATGTTGCATATTTGATGCGAAGCGAAACTATATCATTTGTTAGCTTTCGAATTAAGGTTAGATAGTGGATATTACTCACATCATACCCCTAGACCAAGTGCCCTGGTTGATTGATTGATAAAGATATTTTAAAAATTAAGTATTACATTAATAAAAATGTAAATAGTCTAGTTCCACTTAGACTGCAAATTCCCCACTTCGCTTTGCAACCAATGTGCCATCCAGCACCACGCCAACCGTGGTCTACCTATCACGTAAAGGAAAAGAGTTGGTTGGTAAAATGCTGAAAAGTGTTCCTGGATGTGCGGGATAGGAGGGACAGATTGTCGGAAGTTGTTCAGCGGCCCTTTTTCAAATCCCTCTTTCAAGTAATACTATTTGAGGATACTCTAATCTTATTTCAAAGCACCGCTTCATCTAGTTAAAAAGGTAGAGGAGTGTAGATGATTAGAAGGTCCCGAATAATAATACTTTCCAGCGTTTTCCCTCGACGCTCTCTACCGAAGTTGTTATTAGCGGTTTGATACTTTTCAGTCAACCACTGGTCCAAAGTAGCTCCTAGTTCACCTTGAACCAAAATAGAACTATAACACTGTAATCTCCTTGTTCCTCTCTGAGAGACTTACTTCTACAAAGGTTTTACACAAGGAAGCAAGCTCCTTTCCATATCCCTTGTCTCTCCACTCCGCCATCTATCTAAAATTACGAACCTCCCGCGAAGTTACTAGCAATATAGAGAACTAGCCAACCGGTAGAGCAACCTAGGTATAATTCTACAACATCCAACACCTATCTCCAAATGTTCCCGATTAGAAAGCTAGACCAGTAAGCCTGGAAAACGGCTCCTAAGTCCTTATTTATTTTCTTGATAGAACTCGATCTCAGCAGGGGAATGACATATCATGGTAATCCGCTCCTAAAGCTTATGGAAGGTTATGGCAGTTGGCTCTATAATCTTCTCCTCCTTCTCTTATATAATGTTTTCACTTCGAGTAAATAGATCTAATTCTCCGTCCCCTATGTCTTCCTTCCGCCTAACTAACATCCTGAACTCTATACGAAGTGTTTAGCGGTGTTGGAAAATAGCTAACTCTAAGAAAACCTAGTTACCATTATAGTGTTCGACGGCTATACTACAAACCACTTAATTACGAAGATTAGTTAGCGGCGTAGAGAAAGACGTGAGTTCGAGAACTGATCCTGACACACGCATGGTAAAAGAAGGTCGGAGAAGTATAGAGAAATTAATGGAGCAGAGACACATAATCAAAACCTTCGACACGCAATATATAAAGGAGGGCGACAGGTGTCAGGATTGGTAGAGAAGCTCTCTTATGCATGAAGTATAACCTCGTCCTCTCTGTGCGCCGGAGAGGGGACTATTAATAATATCTCGCCTCCCCTCGCCCATCATTCTCATTGATAGCTTTCCCTTCCAGCCTGGAGTTCGAAAATATGTTTGAATGGCCAACGACTCTACCGTATAACAACCTCAACCGCCACCTCATTACTCCACCCCGCGCTCGACCCTGATTCCTTCCACGCCCTCGACGTATCAATTTCCAGCACCTGATCACAGGTATCACTGACTTTAACGCAATGAAGTGGAATCGGACGTCCGAAGATTACGGCCATAATGTCGTCTCCTATGGAGCGTTTTGGGAGATCTGAGATGTACAACCCTAAGATGCACTGTTAATAATTTACGATTAGATGCGGATGAAGAGGCAATTTACCATACGTCCCTAAAGCCTTCAACGACGTCCAGATCCTCAACCGCCCCGACCCCCTTTCCACATACATATCGCTATTCACAATAGCAGCCGCCCCCGTCATCTTCCCCAACAGGCCTAAATTAGCTACAGTGATGGAATCAGGGCCTAGGACAGGGTGTTTGCGGTCTAATTTGAACTCATGGAGCGGGAAGGTGGAGAGAATTTCCCATCCCCGGACTGGAAGCTCCAGGTGCACAAATGTGCGGGAATCACTCTTGCTAGTCGGCTTGCTGACCTGGCCGGTGGTGTGACTCCAGATTATATAGCGGCCTTCCTCGGCGCCTGGAAACTGATCAAGTGTGATGAGTTCGGCCAACTCGCGCTGGAAGCAATTGAATACACCCAAGATGCCGACGCCAGAATGTGCCATACCAACATATGTGCCCACTTTGAGTAAAACCGGATCGTCGTACCCGTTATAGGCATGAACGGACTTTCCGATGATGTGAGGGCGAAGAACGACGGTATCTCCGCGGGGCGTCTTCGCGGTCATCTGGTTGATCAGGTCCACATCGTGCTGGCCAGGGACATCGGTGATGTAAATTGGGCCTCCAGAGACACATCGAGCAGCACCATGGAATGAAGCCCATTCATGTGACGTCTGAAACATGTCCCAGTCCGGCAGGATATTGAGATGTTGGGTGAAAAGAGAATTATGTGCATTACAGAAGATGTGCCAGGGGTGCGAAGCCGGTACTTCAGGGAAGAAATCATCGGAGTTTCGTAGAAGAATACGTGGTTTATTAGTTGGTAATTGGGAATGGAACATAATCTGAGGCGTCTGGGACATGCAGGAAATGGCTTTGGCAGAGAAGTAGCGCAGTTGATTGATCGTCCATGCATCCTGGTATGCTTGGGTTAGACTTCGGCGGTCTGTGGCATCGTTGAGCTCATCGACGAAGAACTGGGCGTCGGTTTTCACTGAGTCGATACCGGCTGAGCTCAGAAAGCTGTAGAAGTCCTTGTAGAACCGACCGACCTCCTCCTCAGCGACTACAAGCATTTTCCCAGCGGCTACCCCATTTTTCTTTTGAACGACCACAGTTTTGTATTCCTTCGCAATCTTCCCTTCAGGGGCGATCCCTCCCCAATAACCAAACTTTGTTGCTGTTAGAGGCGTAAAATCAAGGAGATATTAGACCTACTAAGGCATGCCAAACGGCTATGTGTTGAATGTTTTTGTGTTTGTTACGGATATCACGGACTGTGGCTTCAAGTCCCCGCGGAAAACCCGTCTTCGTCGCCTCAAACTCCATCCATGCATTCTCGAATTGGTTGCCGCCTTCATTATTCTGGAGGGTATCAGTAAGGCACCACCCTTAAGGGCCCAAGGAAAAGGCATCAAGGCGTACCAAGGATTGCCAGTTGTCATCAATAATCAGATTCGTGACTTCAATAGTAAGCTTCTGATAATGCAACTTGCATATACAAATGGCTTACCGTTAATTCCGTGCTTTGCCAGGGAATCCAAAGCATCAAAAATCTTTTGCTCAGTGAGGTTCTGTCCGAGGCCGTTCCAAGTGCAGTACGCCAGTCCATCGTACCAGTTCTGTAACCATTCAGGCTTCACACCATCAACTAAGGCCTTCGTCTCGTCATTCATCTGCTCGGTTTGGATTCCGTACTTTTGAACGATCCTGCGAGCGTAGTACATGGTGGCAGCAATGGCAGTTTCCACGGACTTCCCGACAGCCGCTACAAGTCTGGAAATACCATCGCTTTCTCTATCATTGCGAGATTGAATGACAATGTTTCCTTCCTCATCATGGTGGAGACATGTCAGTACATCGTCAATACCACTCACCGCTAGGATAGCAAGATGAGATCCGTCGGTTCGTTGAAAGGCGACCAAGATGGCTTCTTTATCTAGCCGGAAGTCACCTTTACCCTGGCGAGGAGCAATCCATGGTGACCACAAGCGGACCAGAGCGAACCATCTTGAGAATGACATAGGTTTTCCAAGCTTGTTGTTTGAATATCCAGACACTGTGCCGGAAGCTGCATTTACGGGGCTAGTGATGGACCATAAAAGCGTTTCCGGAGTGTCGCTGGTTTCTCTTTGAATATCAAGGTAGGGAGGAAGGCCTTCAAGATAGTCGGATAGATCCTTCTGGTCCAAGGAGATAGAGTGATACATCAACTGACCGTCCGAAGTGGCAAACTGCTCATTTGCCCATTTCCATGGCTCGTCTTCGGTACCTGAACGGAAAGTAACAGTAAAGGAGACCGGCTGGCCACCTTTAGGAAGGCCAACTAGCTCCGCAGAAAACCACTGCCGGCGAATATTTTTAGTCTCTGTAGACCCTATTACTAACTTAATGGATTCGTTAGTACTTCAATGTGATCAACCAGAACTATAGCTGGTGGATCATACCACAGATGGTGGATTTGGGACTTCTTTGAGGTTCAAGCTTTGCCATTTATCGGGATCGAAGTTGTGCCAGAGTGCAACACTCCAGGTCTTTTCTGACGAGCTTGAGCTTTCTATGAGCACCGTAAATGTCACCTGATGGACTCCGGTCAGTATTTAGAGAATTGTAGAACTTCTCCTTCTCCTAACCTTATGAGCCGTGGAAGGGACCATTGTTGTTTGTCCCAGAGGAGGGTTGCAGGTAAGTCTTGCGTGCATATTGGACAGAATGAAGAGCACAAGACAAGAGAAAGACTGGGAGGGAGATGGGGTGGTCAATCACGAGCAGTAGGATGAAAGATGCGATGTATATAGTAAGTGATGATTGATTGATAATCTGGAAAGTACTGCAAACTCTTTTGAATTCAACAAGACTGGGTAAGCTATGCAAGAGCAAGAGAGAAAATTGGATATGAGTGGAAAGTACGAGAGTTGCCAGTCCTGGAGTACATGGTACACTTTAATGGGATGAGGAGTCAGGACCCGAGATGGCGAGTGAGGCGTCACGTGGGGTAGCAAGAGGGAGAGCAAGGCAGCCAATAGAGCTGCACCGGAAAAATGACCGGCCCGCTAACTTTTATGGAAGCTCTCTCAACGACTTCACCATGGAGATGGTGATGGAGCGTCCGGCCTCAATTCACGATGCCTTTATCTAGGCCCAGACGCATTCCCAAATTGCCAACTCATTTATCGCGATGCTGTAAACCACGAGACCACCTGAGATTCTTGTCGCAGGCGTCGAGGGGAACACTTGCAAAACAGACGTTACCTGCACACTACAATGAGTCCGAACGAAATGCCTGGGATGAGAGAGCCCGCATGATCAAGGCCGGCATGGAGAAGAGTGTATTGTCTGTACTAGAAGAAAGAGGCTATGTCAAAGACGTTGCTGGGTAAGCATTCCTCCACATCATCTTT